GGGAAATATGTGAGAATGTGCACAAACGTATAAATATATAAAATAGGACATACTTTCATTTAAGTTTAAATTATTTTTTCTGTACATGTAAGAATATGAATTTGCATAAACATCCACTCTGTTTACTATCATTTGATATTTTATATAGATTTTTCCATAGTCTCTATCTGCATGGTTGATTGGAGTCTGACAATATGACGAAGAGAATTCCTCAACCTAACTTTGTCCAACTACCCTCTTAAGAATTTCCTAAATCCATTACATGTTTACTCACTTTGATTACAGGATCCAGGTATTCCTTTTAATCAATCAAAATGATTAAAAGACAGGGCACATTACATCACCTGTATTTAATGGAGTCAGAACAGAGAGAGACAGAGAGTGAGAGCGAAAGAGAGGGAAGGACGTGTTTTAGATACTTCCGTAAATGCAATTGGTAGCTGTAGGTACTGTTAATTTGGTCGCTGCAGTGACAAACGAATCGTACACGCTCGCTTAATGAACCGAGGGAATTGAACAATATCACTGAAAACAATTACCACGTTTTTTAACGAAGCGATAAAGTTAACGTTACGACGCCCGCGAGACCGTTGCCCTCTCGAACGTATTTATCCATCGTTACTCGACCAATGTTGACCCATTTCAACTTCAAACACGGAGTTCGCGATTCTCATCCATCCGTGGATGTATATAACCTGGATACACGCATACATACGTGCATGCAGAGGGAATTGAAATTGGAACAATGTGTCCGATTCTAACGAACTGGTCGAGACGAATCAGTCGGTTCGGCCGTGAGAGTGTATTGTATACACTAACAGTGTATTGTTAAGGTGTATTGCGTCGCAACCTCGTGGTCGAAAGAGTGCATTTGTTGGCAATTGCAGATCGTTAAAAAGGGACGTTTCAAGAATTTCTTCCCGTACTTCGTAAATGATAAATTTTATTATTATAAAGTTGAAATTTCTGGCAAAAGAAATCTCGTGCTGGCAAATTCTATTCTACAGTTCTTACTAATTTTTGTCATGGGCTTACATAAATCTGAATTGGAGTCTCTTATAAACAAAATAATAAAATAAAAACATTTCTAACTTGATTGTAAGAAACATAACAACTTGAAAAAAATACCCAGTATTCCAATCGAAAATATCCTTACCAATTATTATCCTATATGTATTCAAGTTTGTTAAATATAAAATATTTAAAAAAAAGCAATTGTTTAAGAGTATCTAACAATAATAACCATCTGATAAATGGTAGAAATTCCGCTTTTTAATTTGGATTTCGTTAGAACCGAATTGGACGATTCTACACAGAGTTACAGCACTTTAAAGTTTCGTATTTAATAGACCCTTTAGTAATAATACATATGGAAGCATGAATGACCCAGTTTACTACTACTTCTTGGACATACGTACTACGAAATTCCAAGAAATACTAGTAAACATTGTAGTATTTCCTGAAAGGAAAACCCCTCCATTTCCTGGATGGACAACCCCTTTAAGTTGTTTAGAAGAGATACAAGTATATCTCTTTTTCCTTTTCATCGATCTCGATGAAATTTGGTATACAAGGGTTTTTGGAGGCGCTGATTTCAAATCTGAACACAGAATTTACAAATTCAAAATGGCGAATCCAATAT